GAGGAAGAGCAGAGGGAGAAGGGGAACTCATTAACTTATCCTGCTCAGCATAGGGCAGATCCTTTGCCAACTCCTGAAGCCAGAGTCACCTGGCGTCCAGTGTCCACTTGAATCTGCACAGCATGGGAACTAAGCCCCTACCACACCAGGATCTGGGGGAGCCACAGAGCACTGGATGGAGTGAGATTATGTTCTGAGAACTTCCCAAAGCAAAGAAAAGAGACTCATATGAAGGCTTCTAAAGAGCATGATCATAGAGCTGCAGTCGTGTCTGGGCCACCCAGGTGATGGCAACTCGAAAGCCCAAATCAGAGGTCTCAGCAGTGATTCCCTACTTGTCTGAAGTAGAAAAGAGAGAGAGAAGACTTGTGCTTAAGTACATAAAATTGAATGAAATAGCAAAGTAACAAAGACGCTTACCACTGGAAGAGCGCAGAGAAAAAATGCAGTTAAGTTAGGAGAGAGGTCTTTATTCAAAGGGGAGTAACGTAAGCCTCAGAGATGAGGTGCACTTAAAAGACTCTGTCTTTTAAGGCTTTCAAGAATAGGGCAAAGACCAGAGGGCAAATTTCCAGCATAGGCTTCACTTGTGGTCTTATGATGCCTTTCTCCAGTGAGAGAGTATGTCACCATTCAGTCAGTCCTCTAGATAATTCCGTAAGATAAACTTAATAGAAGGAATTTATTGATTCTATTCTTCTCTACGACAGTGATTACTCCCAAGCAGTGGGGACACATCATTTAGGACTACTTGCTCTGCATTAAAATAGTGTCAGTTATTGTCTGATAACCATAAAATATGTCAGGAGTCTTACCTCCTAACTCCCTGATTTTTAAAATGGAATCTCACCCTTCCGATGGGGTCCCTCCTGTTCTTACTATGCTGTTCATATCCTTGGCATTTTTCATCATAGACAGGAAAAGTCAATCATGATGCTTGTCCCATGTCCCTGCCCTTCCTCAGTTCCACAGTCTGAATCAGAAACAATGGGGATAGGACCCGGAAAACACTATGATTCCGATGCACGCCAGGCCCCTTTGATGAATATGAACATTTCCATTTGATAGGCTCCTCAAGGAGGGGATGCGTCAATGGAATTTAAGGGCATAGAGATTGAGCTACTTCAATGGGCCTGGCACTACTTAAATGCTGCACGAATAGTTAGAATGCTTGCCAAGAATGTAATGCATATTGATACATCATAGACTGTATAACATATATTCTTTACATAGAATATATAACTTTCTGTTCAGGAAGAATACTAAAAAATTTAGATGTCTACATATTCATCAAAAAACCCACAAGATTTCATATTCATCATCAAAAATATTTTAAATAGCTAGCTGCAAATAATTGTTATATTCTACATGTGAGCATAAAACATGGACCCACAGAGATTCAGCTATAATCATATATAATGATACTGATACATCATTATATAGGTATAGTGACTTACACACTACAAATGTCTTTACATGCCTTCGCATGTGTAAACATTTCATAACAACCTTTGAAGTATACATAAATACCCTCCTTTGTGCAAAAAAAGAAACTGGTCAAATAACTTGCCTCTTAACCATAAAACTACTAAGTGAAAGAGCCAGGATTCAAACTCAGGGCTTCTGGGACCAAGGATAAACTGTCTTGTGATTCTCTGACTCATTTATGAGCAGTAAGTAATTGTTTGGAATGCACAAATGACTTCTGGACTTGATTATTTATCTAAAAACCAAAGATATGTGTAAAATCCAAAAATTTAAAGAAAACAGATAGCCAATTTGACACGAACAAGAGAATTTATCTATTTACCAAAATCCTTAAATCCACATGAATGACTTGTAGTTTGGGAAAGTTGGGCATTCGTAAAAACAAGGGGAGGAATTCAGTCTTCAAAAGCAATGTCAATTAAGCAAAAAACCATTGTCCAGAGTGAATTTTCATTATTTTATGAATGACAATGTGTTCTTGATTGCAAAGCCCTGCAGGAAGGGTTGTATAATCTTGTCCTAAGTATTTTTTCCACATATGTTTTTCAGAGTAAGAGAAGCATATCATGCAGCTGACATTAATTCCAATTCTGGGAAGATCTGGAGCACCGCGACAGCATTTCCACATCAGCTTTTTTCTAATACTAAGTTTAGTATAAATATTTTTACTGGTAACTCAACACAACTACTTCATCTTATGCCATATGGTAAGCAAACTTGCAAGTAAGTATAAAAATCTACAGAAAGCTGGTATAAGGGCATAGCCTTGAGTCCCCAGACTGAAAGCATTAAAAGAGACATTATTAACTAGTATTTTGCCCTGAAGTGAAGAGGAAAACAGCTGGAAACCTTTTGTTGACATTTATTTAGCTACTGTTTTTAAGAACTCTTTTCACTTAGCTCACCCCCTCAACACCTTATTTTCCTTTTGTGAACTAATAGCAAGTAGAGCAGGTTTTTAGTATATTAAAAACAAAAACTAAATCTCAAAAAGATTCTAGATGAAAATGTAATATAACTGAAAATGGCCATTCCTAGCCATTAATGACAATTTCATTCAAATGTAAATAAATTGTGAAGTAGAATAGACTTCGATGGCAGTCTCTGCTCCTGCAGTGAGACTTACAGTAGCCGTGTGCAGCCCGCCCAGTGTAACTAGACTTATTGAATCAGTATCTGGGAATTGATCCCAGAACCTGTATTTTTATCAAACTCACTAGATGATTCTTTTTTTCCTCAAGTCATCTGTAGCAACTCAAATTTTCTGAAGTTTTAGTACCTCTTTAAAGTTGCTTAATATTTTATTTCCCTGTTATAGTCAACTGTTTTGCAAAACACTATTAGTTCTTTAAACATTTAGTTCCTACTAAATGAGTATCTACATATCAACTATGGTTTCTCGACAAATAGTGATGCAATAAATATTTACTTTCATTGAATATTATTGTTATTATTATTTGTTTCTTTAGTCAAGGCCTCTAGTCAAGGCTTTGATTTAGTAGATAACTGTAAACATATTATGTGGGAATATTAGTTTGGAACATCTGGTTTGAAACTAACAGAAACCAATTCCTGCTGGCTTAAGAAGAAAACAAACCGACCAACCACTTTTTAAAGAGTATAGGGATTTCTCACAGAACTTCAGAGTAGAAATTCAGCAAACATTCAGGAAGATACTAAAAGCACAGATGAAGCAGAGCAAAATTCCTGTATACCTCTCACCTCATCTCCTTTCTATATAACTGTTTCTCATGTTTCTCTTGCTTTCTGCTGATTTGTTTCCCTTGCTTTTCCAGAACACATGGAAAACCAAGCTCTCAAGCTTAAATGCTTTTGGCCAGCTACCTAAAGAAAGTCAAATCTCTCTTTTAGATCCAATTCCAAATTTCTAAAAGCAGAATTCTTATTGCCCAGCCGAGATCAGTGATGCTGTACCTTCATCCAATCGAATGGCCCAGGGTCTGGGTCATCTTGGCTTCAGCTGCTGGAGAAGAGAGAATAATTGTGAACTGGGGAGACTACTTTTGTTCTTCCAATTTACAGTATTTAATTTCCAACATCTCTTTCTGCCTCTGGACATTCTTTTTTTTTTTAGTTTGGCAAGCTGTAGGCCATTTTTTTACTTATATGAGAAATTTCAGTAAAGTGATTGGTCAATTGTGTTTAGAGTTAAGAGATGTATAATGGTAAAGAGGATATTTGTGCCCTCAAAGATATTAAAAGTTTTTACAAGAAGGAGGAGGGGGAGGAAGGGTGCAGTTCAGAAGGAGGAGAAAGGACACATTCATGAAAACATAGTCTATACCATTGTTGGGAAGAAAACTTTACTTACTTTAGACTTAACTGACAACAGACAGATTAACAGGAGAAAAAACAATTTTCCTACATATGCGTACAGGGTTTACTCAGTAATGGTTTATATACCAAATAAATACAAAAGTGTTGGGGGGAGGGATGGTCAGGGTTCAGTAGGAAAATATGAAGGGTTATGTTTTCTTTTCTCTTTTCTTTTTTTTATGCTCATAGATGAGTAGTCTATCTTCCTCCTGGAATTTGCAGGAAAATCCATCATAAGCCAACTAAGGGTAGCTGTATTGTAGGAAGTCTTTGCTTTAACCAGACAAGGCAAGTTCAGATAAGATTTAAAGTGTTTTCACTTTAAAATAATCTTTATGCCCAAACTGTAATCATTTCACCATTTCATATTTGTGTCTTGGTAGTAACACAGATGTGCTCTAAAGAACCAAAATCTGAGGAACACATCAAGAATAACTTTGATAAACAATAGAGGCTTTTGTTAGAAATTTAAGAAATATAGATAAATACAAAGGAGACTGGAGAGGGTTAGGGGTTTTCATCCAAAAAGAACACAGTTTTGTCAGAGTGAGGACAGGGAATCTGTCTAGGGAAGATGTTTTCAATAAGGAATTCTCTCTTCCACAATGTTCAGCTATCACTTCAGTGAAAATGATTCCCAAGTTCTTATTTCTAACTCCAAAGTTGCTCTAACACCAGTGTCTTTACTTTCAACAACCTTTTGGATTTAAATGTCACGTGATTGGAGCTGTATTATGGGCCATTTGTGTTCTGCAAAGTGTTGGAAGTAGAAGTCAGTTTGTTGTCGGGCAGCTGCGGCTGGACAGGTCTGTCCCTGAGCACTAGGTGAAATCTCAACCTGGATGGGTCAGAGTACTTGACTTTAGATGAGGAAGAATTCTTGAACAGGTCGGATAGGAAAGGAAGAAATTCATTAAAGCAAGAGTAGTAGTGAACAGCAGCTGCCTTGTAGGCAGGAGAGAGCGAAGAGCAGAGGGAGGAAAAGGAAGCGCACTGGACTCCTGAGTGGCATAAGGCTGATCCTTTGCCAACCCCAAAGCCAGGTTCACCTGGTGTCCAGTGTCCGCTTGGATCTGCACAGCATGGGAACTAGGTCCCCACCACCCCAGGATTTGGGGCAGCCACAGACCACTGGATGAAGTGAGAATATGTTCTGAGAACTTCCCAAAGGCAAAGAAAGGGGGCATTTCATTTAGGACCGCTTGCCCCGCCCTAAGATATGGTCAGTTGTTGGCTGATTATCAGAGAATATGTCAGGAATCTTACCTCCTAACCCGTTTTTTAAAATGGAATCTTAGCCTTAAGTGGAGTCTCTCCTGTTCTTACTATACTGTTTATGTCTCAGCATTTTTCATCATAGGCAGGAAAAGTTAATCATGATTCTTGTCCCATGTTCCTGCCCTACTTCAAGTTTGCAAAGATTAATGAGTAAATGAGAAATGTTTGTAGAAGTTACCTACTCTTTAAAGCAGTTTGGCAGTAACAGGAAGTTAAAAAAAGATACTTTTTATACTTTGTAAAGGAATGAAATAGATTAGGAGAGATTTTATTGGAAGATTAAATAGAAACCGAATGTTTTAAAGAAAAGACAAAAGCATCTTTGGAATGAAGGATATTGAATATATAAAAGAGGGGGGACTTTAATTGATGAAACAGGAAACAAGTGCAGGAAGGATCCCAGTTGAAGAAGTAAGATTTAGAAAAAAAGCAGTGACATTTATATCTCAAAAGAGGTGTAAAGGATTTGAGAATGAGGCATTCAAAACCTAAATGTAGGGTGCAGAGAAGTATAATTAAAGAATCTTCAAATGGGACTTAGCTTTTTCAATACGGTCAACAGACTGAGAAGGATTGCACAGGTGAAAGACCACAAGAAATTGGGAAAATTATTGTATTAGCAACCAAAATGAAGGTACAGGGACAAAGTCTACTTGAAAGAAGCCACAGTATTTGTTGGCTTACAATACGGATGAGAAGTTTGACTCACACACACCGAAATCATTGGTTTTGAAAAGAAAAATGATTGTCTCAGGATTAGACATGCCAAATTTGAAGTAATAATGAAACACCCAAAGAGTAACATGAAGCAGGTAGTGGAGGATATTAAACCAAACCTCAGGGGAGCAGTAATAGCTAAAAATGTCTTATGGAATCTTTCATGTTAAGTGGAAAGATGATCATAGTGAAGTAATGAATTCATGAATGGCCCATTTACACAGTGGATACAGTCCTGGAAATGGAATGATCAGATTAATTAAAATGAACTCATGTCTTTGGAGATACTTTCCTGCCATCATATAATGGCAATGCTTTTCACTCCTTGGCAAACCCCTTTTATAGTTATGATTTTGCCTGTGGCCATATTTTCATCTAGCTTTAATTCATACTATTTCAATTTTTATCCCCAAGCAGCAATGTTTAAGATATTCTCTCCTGTGTCAAAGCATTTTCACAATCCCTAATTCCATAGTGATCTTCACCATTTGTATCTCCAACCATTTCTTTGAACATCTTGATCTACCACAAAAGTTATTTTTTAAATCCAACATTACACTCTTCCTTTGTTTGTTTGTGTCAGGTTCAGTAATATCACTTGCACTGTTTCTTGTTAGCTAGTTTGTGTCAAAAACCTTTCCCTCCAAACTAAAAGGTAGGGCTGTAAAAGAATTCACAGTGGAGTAAACAAATAATTGAAAACACAACATAACTCAGATGAATACAGTTGAACGTTTGCAGTACGCAGTTCAAATTCTCAGGCTAACGACCATCAGTACAGTCTGTTGCACTTGCTTTCATTGATTCAGACCATATGATCCCATTCAAAACACACTCTGTAGATAGATGTAGATATAATTTTCAACTTTCATTTATAGTATTAAATAAGTCCCATACTATTTACTATTTGTAATTGGAAATATTTCATAGACAACTATTATCATAGCTTGGTTCTGGTCACCATTAAATGGCACGTGTAGGTAAACTCTTAGCAGGGAAATTGTGGAATGTGGATATGAGAAGACAAAGGACTTTATCCTAGAGTATGTTTACACTTTGAGTCCCAGCAAAGGTGGAAAAACAAAGCATATGTTCACTAAAATCATTATAATGCTGTTCAAGACAGAACCTTGGATGATTCCTACATGGGAAAAGAATGATCAGCTGGGGAGACTTAGAATCATTACAAGCACAAGCTTTGGAATCTGACAGATTTAGGTTAGACTCTAGGCTCGCCACTCATCACTCACTGTGTAATCTCTTTGGCATCTCGCAAGTCCCTAAAGGTTACCCACAGAATATATTTTTATGCAGATCTACAGTGTACCAAAGGTTTTAACAGAAAGAATACTCAGCTCTGTTATGTTATATGAAGACAGACTGATCAAAGAAAATGCAGTGTTTTTCAAAAATATCTCCAAATCTAACAACCAGAGTAATGAGATGCATCTCATTTAATTCCTTTTAAATATTAGGGTGGAACTAAACAGTTATAGTTCATAATATAACTAAACATTTTTCCCAGTCAATACAAGAAAAGTTCTTACTGACTTTTTATTATTCACTTTGTTTTTAGCTAATTATCTTGTCAAAGACCTAATTGCAGAAATTCTACATTTTGGTAGAAATGACCAGTTATTCCCCAAGGATCATCTTCTAAGTATATGTGGCTATGAAGAATTTTTACAGAAGTAAGTATTCTATTAAGGCAAATTTTCATCATTGTTATAACCCATGTTAAGCAGCACCTTTTTTTCTTTTAAATAAACATTGTATAAATATTATGCTCATAAACAACATAATTAAATAAATTTTTCTCCTTTTAAGTGAATTTGAAATTTTGCCAGTCATGTTGACAGACTTTTTCTCGGTTTTATTTTGTATTCTGTGTATTTATGGCAACATGTATTTAGGTGGCCTGTAACTATGGTGATCAATCATCTCAGTTTGACCAGAGCTTGTGGGTGTTCCCTGGACTTGGGACTTGCAGTTCTGAAACCAAGAAAATCCTGGGCAAACCAAGTCACCTTACCTATATAAATCTTATTAGGACTGATCACAATTAAAAGAATAAATTATTTTCTAATATATAATTATTTGATTTGGCATAGTATTAACATGTTGATTAAATACTGATTTTTAAAAATCAGAGAGAGTTTGAGTATAAGCATTACAATATTACCATGAAAGAGTACATTTTAAAACACTTTATTCAGGCAGCTTTGAAAACAATTAGAAAAGTCTGCTCTCATGTACTGTATATCAACTGCAAATACTTATTTGATAGAAAACTCACCTTCTCACAAGGCACCATAATTAATGACTGGCCTAAATTGCCTGAAACACCAACCTGAAAATATATACGACCTTAAAAAGAGGAAATATTTCTCCACAGGTATTGCATAGTTATTCATAATAGAAAAGTAATAAAGACTAAAATGTTCAATGAAGTGGATTGCCATTTACATTTCCTCTTTGTATTTCTGTAAGTATCTAAAGATAGATGATAGTCTCATGAAAGTAAACATGTCTTTCTTTTGAAATACCCATTCTTGCTGTCATTATTATTTCAACATGACTGCTTGAAAATATTTTATGGGTAATTTGGTGACCTTAATGATATAATCGGCAAATCCAGTCTTACTGTGCAATACTAACTGTGACTTTTAAGACTTATTTCCCTTTTTGTGTTTCCAGTTATAAAAGTAATAAATATTTATATGAAATCAGAGGTTTTGCTGCTTTCTCACAGATATGCCCCTTTTTCCTTGTCTACTTGAACCTATTAACACACTCAATGACAAGGCTGCTGCCTTCTCCCAACATCTGATTTTGATAGTATATCCAAAGAAAAAGGAGAGCAATGTAATCTTATACTACTGAAAACACGTTAATATTCATCTTTTCAGCGTGCATGTCTCCAAATGCACTTCTGGACTTTGACTGATGGCAAACGTTATTTGCAAAGAACAAGAACATTATCATTAAACTTAGCATTATCAGTAGGAAATATCTTGAAAATAAAAGTTTTGAACATATAGAAATCTGGGAAAGTATAACATGGAGAAAATTAATAATGGATCTTAACTTACTATTTCAAATAGGTGAGTCATCTATAATTAGATAGCACCAGTACTGATTACTAAAAATGTTGTATCGTTTTACTCTTTTCTTGTTAATATAAGCATAATAGATTTCTAAAATATTTTCAGTCATTTATCTCTATTAAAAATTAATTTACCTGGGTTTTATTATGCTAGGAAAGTTGCCAATTGCTACTCTAGATTAATTAGAGCCATTTATTCCCTAATGGAAATTGAAGGACATGTATATACCAGGGATTTGCTTACTATTTAAGATTAACAGCCTACCTGTATTGATATGATTTATTTTAATTGGAATATTCAATACTGTTCTTTCTAACATCTAAGTCATTCCAATTTTTTCTTAGTTTATATCTATGTGATTTATCTTTAAAAAAATCTTTAAATACTTAGAAACCTGTTCATAAAGATTTTCTATAGAGGGACTACAGGCAACATGTAATAAGGTAATAATGCACTAGGCAATAAATTAGACCCTAACAGTGATAGTACCACACTTCAGCTGGAGTATTTGACTAGCTTTGATTGTAGAGATGATGATGGTGACGATAATCATTTATCAAGTGATAATTATTTGATTACTTCAGATTGGGTAGACACCTAAGTCTTATAAACATATCAGTATGACAGATAAGGTAATAACTTGTTTTTACAGATGGGAAGTCTGAGGCATAAGTCTGATTTCAAACTTGGATTAGGCTGCCTGCTTAGTCCTAGATTTTAACTACAAAACAATACTGAAAAAGCTTTCAAGAGGAATACAGGAAATGGGAAATGGTTCTTCATGCTGGAGCCCATGGTGAAAAATCTACGGAGTGTTGTGGGTGCAGGGACTGTAACAGTCTAATTCATCTTCTATTTAGAACCACAGATGTGCAAGACATTTTGTTAATCACTGAGAATACAAAGATGAGTTATATATAACCCTCGCTCTCTTCCTTGGTAAGAATTCATAAAGCCATGACATTAGTTACTACAAGGTCTATTTGATTTTTTTTTTAATTATTAGAATTAGGCAGTATTAGAATTACTATTTAACAACTGCTTGTAGTTCACAGAGAGAGAGATTTGTGGCAAGAATATGGAAATGGTACAAAGAAGTCAATAGTCAACTTGTATTTAAAGAATAAACACTAAGAAATTAGAATGTGATAAAATGTGAGTGATAGCCTTAGAATATAAAAAATATACTTAAAATTCTGTTTTTAAAAAATAGTATCAAGGAAACAATAGCCTAAGAATATGAACACCAATTCCAAGGATATGAAATCATTGAGTTTAACCTAACTGATAACAAATGTGCAATTAAAACAATGAGATACCATGTTGCTTATTAAATAGTTAAAACAGTTATAATGAAATTTGGTGGTAAAATTGACAATATCCAAACAGCTTCTAGAAATATACATTGATATGGCATTTATTGAAGGGAATTTCATCCAAAATGTGTCAATGATCTATATAGAAATGTGTCAAAAACAGGTCATTGTTTCAGCAATTCTGCTTCTTACAAGTATTTCTAAGGAAATGATCATTACTATACAAAAAAGACATATATAAAGTATATTTACCATGGCATTATTTCTGATAGTAACAACAACAAAAGAAATCTGGGGAAAAAATACTTAATCTCCAATAGTATTCCAAAAAGTGGTAAAATAGGTCATGAACATAGTAAATACAGCATTATGTCTTGATATAAAATATATATATCATGGTTTTTAGGATGAAAAGATCTATTTTCAAACCACATGTTAAAAAGAAGTTATGTTTATATTTGTAAAATAAAATGGAATCTTACACACTGAAATTTTAGACTAGCTACTCCCTGAAAAAGAACTACAATTCAGATGATATTTATTCATTTATGTTTCTAATTTATAAAACTTCTATAATAAACCTGCCTTTTTTTTGCTATCAGGAGATTAAGGAAATAAACTATTTCTTTTGGGAAAGATGCATTTAAATCATGGTATGAATAATAATAATATATGCTTACAAAGAGCTAGAAAGTAGGTTAGGAGACCATTACCGAACATAGGAAAGACTGACAGAGCATCAGCTAAAGTAACAGCAGTGGGATAAGCAGGAGGCATTAAACCCATGGGACAGTAATATGGTGGAATTAATGGAACTTGATGGCTGGATATGTGGGACTGCATGGGAGAAAGAAGTAGAAGTTGAGAGCCAGGTTCAATGTTGAGTTCAAAATCAAACAATGATGCAGAATTCAGATATAGAGAAGCTTTGGGGGGTACAAAATAATCAAGTTAGAGACATGTTGAGTATGTGAGTGCTGAGGTGTGTCCGATATTGAGAAAGCAGAGCAGATTCTAAGAAAACTGGTCTGGATGAGGGGATCTTGCTTCTAAAACAGAAAAGAAGTCTTCAAAATAGATTAAGATCACACAGGGAAAGTGACAAAAGAAAAGTATCCTAGGAACATCAATATTTAAAAGCTGGAAGGAGGAAAAGGAGCAGAAAAGAGAAATTGAGAAAAAGTAATTTGAATTGTGGGACAAGAAGAAATGAAAGAATTTCATGGAACAAGTAAATATATCAAATGCTGAAAACAAATATTAGGTGGATATTAAAAGATCATCATTAAGTGGGCAGCTGAGAAGGTAGCTGGTAACTCAAGTAAGAGTAATTTTAGTAAAGTGGAAGAGAAAAAGCAAGATTGCAATGAGCTAAGGAGAACACAGATGATTAGGAGAAATGCACATGCAGATTGCTCTCTCGGAAGTAACGAATGGTGGTAAAAGCCAGAAGAAAGGCAGAGTTTGAGATGCTCAGGGGAACTGGCCTGGAGATTTGGAGAATTTGGGTAAGAGAGAGATAGAAAGTATTCATAACCTGAAGGGAAAGAGCCAATGGAGAAGGAAGGACTAAAGGCACCGAAGGGATCAGTGGTAAGTCAAAGTCTATGATGAGAGAGGATGGGATCAAAGAGGTGGATGAAGAGTTTAGTAGTTCTCTGAAGGGGGGAATTTCTCTCCTAATGAGAAAGACTGGCAGGAATTCAAATGGAATGAATTTAAAAAATTGTTTTTAATAACCAGAGAGATAACTATGCTTTTGGAAAACTGGAGCTCTGACAAAAGCAGGGATGCTTAAGTAAGTGGTATGGAGATGAGTATAATAATAACAATAAAAACCACAACAAAATCTACTTTGCTTATTAAAAGCCTCTCACGGGCTAGAATTTTTGTGTAGTAAGCACCATCCATTCTCATATAAGAAAAGCATGATTATCACAATTTTACAAATGGGAATATTGAGCCTAAGAGAAATTAAATGCCTTCCTAAAGGTCACAAAATTTGCAAGGAGCAAAGTCAGGCTAGCACAGGTGTCTCTGGCTCTGAAGCCCACAGCTCTTCCAGTCTATAATAAACTCTTCTTCATGACATAGGGCCACTTGAAAAATAAAAATTACTGGGATAATGTTTCATTAGGGATAATAACCATACATCTGTGCATTAAACATGGGTTTATAATTCAACATTAATCATTTCAGTCAAACACAAGGAAAAAAATCTTAGAGAACACTCATTTCCTGACGTATTTAAAATTTTTCAGTCTTTAG